CCCTCCCTCTTTCTACTCCACTCGCTCTCTCCGTCCTCCTTCACGACAATGCGAGAGGAAGAGGGCCTATCTCCCCCTGCCTGTGTTTTCCCACCATCCCGCCGCTCTTCGTCGGCACGATGCGCCGCTTTCGAACGATAATTCTCCTCGTCCTCCGACGAGATCTCCATGTCCACGTCGTCCCCCTCGGGCGGAAGGGACGAAGGCTGGCTGCTGCGGGCGCCAGGGGCGGAGGAAGGGAGGGAGGACATGAGGGACGAAGGGAGGGAGCGACCGTTTTCACCTCGAGAGTCCGTGCCGGAAGATGAGGAGGTAAAAACGGCCTTGGTTTTGCCCTCCTTTCTCCCAGTGGAGTCGGGAGGGGCGCCGGATGAGAAGGCAAAAAGGTTTGCCAGTGCCTCCGGATCCTTTTTCCAGCCTGGGGCCCTAGTCCCGCCGCCATTCCGGGCTTCTCCACCCTCCCCCGCAGCCTCGCTGCCTTCCTCCACCCATCCTTGAAAGGGCCGGGGTGACATGCCGGGGAGGAGGGCAGGGACGACCGCCGTGATCTGGATCCACGCGTCCTTCGCCTCCTGCAGCAACGCCGCGCGCGCCCGGCTCCCTTCTCCCGCTCCGATTCCCATCCCGGAGATAAGGGTCCCAGGCAACGGTTTTTTGAAAATTTGAAAGTACGGGGCCACCTCCAGGCACTCCCGTGCGCTCGGTCGTTCCATCGGGTTCAGATGCAAGAGGGCTGGGAGCAAGGCTGCTGCCTCATCGGAAATTGGCAATTTCTTCTTCCCCCGGGCCACTGCGAGCAATTCGCGGACATGTTTGTGCGTGCGGGGCGCGTACCCGGAGGCCCGTTGTGGTTTACAGAGGGGGTAGTACGGCAAGAATTGCCCCAGCTTCCAGACATTGTCGTAGGAGCCCACGCCCCGGTAAATGTGTTCCATCAACTGCCGCCCCGTCCGGGCTTCGAACGCGAGGCGGCCCAGGAGGAGGGCGGAGAGCACGCACCCTACCGACCAGACGTCGCTGGCAAAGTTCGCTTCTCCTCCCAAGAGGACCTCCGGGGCCGTTAAATTCTTCCGCCGCCGTTTTCCTTCCTCCCACACTTCTTCCAAATTGCGGCGGCCCACGTCCAAGTCTACCTCTT